CTGAATTGGTGGCTACAGATCATGAGGTTTTTCCTTCTGAAGCATTTCTGTATACACTTGAAACTATAATTCATAGATTTCCAAGTTTATTTCACCCCCCTTTCAGCAAAAAACATACTCAACAATCCCCCTGGCAATTAAAAACCTTTGCCCATATTCTGGGTTAAAGTGTAATTGTTGTTGTCAGGCACTACAGCAACCTTATGGACAACAGAACAAACCACCGCCCAGCTCTGTGAGCCCATTGTTGCAGCTAGTGTGTCAATTTATCTCCGCGGGGGTCTTCCACTTTTTCAATGCCCCTCTACTTTACCAAGCATGCCTTTTTTCCAGGAATTGATATCTCTTGACAATATATCCAAAGTACTTAAGAAAAAGTCTTACTATCTGAGATAGTTTATTGTGCCAGCCTGGCCGATAAACACAAGTGGGATTAACTGAAGGGCAGTGAGAGAAATGGCTCGGTGAGCCTCGCCTTTCTTGTCTCTCGCTCTTTGATCATCAGACCAGTGTGTGGCTGCCTTGCTTGTTCTGTGCCTCAATTTACAGGCGACAATACCTGTGGGACGCCTAGCCTGTGAACTGTATCGCTATAAGTTGAGGTCCCTTTAAGACATCTCTGGAGCTGGGGACTGGCAGTTGGTGACCTGCCTTGTGATTGGCTGCTGTGCTGAGATAGCCTAGCTCTCTCTCTATATATAGAGGAAAACCTGGCAGCAGACTACACTTGAAGGACTGCTAGAATCTCACAACTCTCTCTCATGGCAGTGAGTTGCACTGAGCCATTTGTACTGCTTTATAATATAACTGTTCTTTTCTTGTATTATATATTTATCTGTATACGATTTAACAGTTCATTTCTTGTTATATATCTAATTATCTTTATAAATAAATATATTAAATTATCAGCAATTTGGTTTTATCTCTCTAGACAACTCTGTCTAACACACTATCCTTGCCTCTAAGGAGCTCTCTGGCTGTACTTTTCCCAAGACAGCCTTTTTTTTGTCCTGTTGGCAGTCCATGGTACTTTCAATATTCTTCGCTAGCACAATTCAAATGCAATGATTCTTCTTCAGTCTTTCTTATTCAATTTCCAACTTTCACATGAATACGAGGCAAGGGAAAATACCAGGCTTGGGTCAGGTGCACCTTAGTCCTCAAAGTAATATCCTTGCTCCTAAGAAGTCCAAGTCCTTACTCCATGACTCCAGAGAAGTCTTGTACAGCAGATATACCCGATGCAATGTGTCATTTGATCTTTTGACTGCTGTTTCCATGAGAATTGATTGTAGATCCAAGCAAAACAAAATCTTTGGTAACTTCAATCTTTTCTCCATTTATCATGTTACGTATTGGTTCAGTTGTGAGGATATTGCTTTTCTTTTCAGTAAGTTGTAATTCATAGGGAACACTTGTAAGAAAGTGACAACCTGGAAGGAAGTGTAACTGCCTCTATTACCAGTGGTTCTCAACCTTCCTGATGATGCGACCCTTTAATACAGTTCCTCATGTTGTGGTGACCCGCCTCCCGCAACCATAAAATTATTTTCGTTGCTACTTCATAACTGCAATTTTGCTACTGTTATGAATCGGGCAACCCTTGTGAAAGGGTCATTCGACACCCCCCCCAAGGGGTCGCGACCCACAGGATGAGAACCACTGCTCTAGACCCATATACAGGTTCTGCATAAGCACAATTTAGTGTTCTGGAAATCCCATTTTTCTCAAGATTACCCACTGCATGTTATGACCTACACAGTGGAATGTCTTGGCATAGTAGGAAAACCAAAGTAAACATGTTTCTGGTACTCTCTGCTCTCAACCAAGATCCAAGATCCAGCTGACATCAGCAATGATATTCCCTATTCCATGTTCCCTCTGAATCCAGCATAAACTTTTGTCAGCTCCCTGTCAATGTACTGTTGCAATCATTGTTAGATGATCTTCAGCAACATTTTACTTGTATGATACCAGTGATAGTGTTCTATAATTTGAATATTCTCTTGAGTCACCTTACTTTGGAATGGGTACCAATACGGATCTCTTCCAGTCAATTGGCCCAAGTAGGTGTCTTCCAAATTTCCTGGCATAGATGAAGTACTTCCAGTGCTTCATAAGTTCATTGAAACATTTCCTTTGGTATTCCATCAATTCTTGGAGCTTTGGTTTGGTCTAATGCTTTTAATGCAGCTTTGACTTTTTCCTTCAGTACCATTGATTCTTGCTCTGCTACATTTGGAAAGGGAGGAATGTCGACTAGTTCTTCTTAGTTCAGTGACTCTGTATTCTGTCTATCTTCTTTTGATGCTTCCTGCATCATTCAATATTTTGTCCATAACATCTTTCAATAGTGCAATGCAAGGCTTGAATTTCTTCTTCAGTTCATACAGTGTGTGTGTGTGTGTGTGTGTGTGTGTGTGTGTGTGTGTGTGTGTTTTTTGTTCTTGGTGTAGGTATCTGCTTTTGCAGCACCCTAGATCATTCTTCTTCCTCACATCCACTTTTGGGAAACACTGCTGTAATATTTTGGTAAGCAGGCAAGTACACAAAGGCTTTAAAAGATTCACAGAAAAATATAATTGAAAGACAAAGAATTTTTCCACACACTTTTTGAAGTTCTATCATGTATTAACTATTTACACCATCCAAGGACTCCTCATTAGCCATTAGGGACATACAAGTTCAAACAACAATTAATTATCTCTCAGAAGAGCTAAAATAATAGTGACACCACCAAACAAAGTGAGACTACGGAGAAATGGAATTATTTATACAGTGTTAGTGGAAATATAAAATGATACAGCTACTCTGGACAATAGTTTAGCACTTGCTTATAAAATTAAACACAACTAACCAACAACTTAAAAATTATACTTCTGATCCTATGACACGCTTACAATCATTGCCATGCTTGAGCACATTGTTGAAGCTATCTCCTTGATGATCTTCCTCTCTTTTGTTGACTCTTCACATTACCAGGCATGATGTCCTTTTTCAAGGACTGGTCACTCCAGATAACATATCTAAAGTATATGAAACCAAGTCTCGCCATTCTTGTTTCCAAGAAGCTTTCTGGCTGTACAACTTTCAAGACATATTCATTTGTGCTTCTGGCAGTCCATGCCAACACTGTAATGAAAATGGGTCAATTCTTCTGCAGTATTCTTTAATCACGGTCTTGCACACGCACTATGAAGTAATTGAAAATACCATGGTTTGGGTCAGGTACACCTTAATCTTCAACCTAATATTTTTTCCATTCAACACATTAAAGAGGTCTCATGCAGCAGATTTTCCCAGTGCAGTGCATCATTTATTTTCTTGATTGCTGCATCCATAAGCATTGATTAAGGATTCAAGCTAAATGATATCCTTGACAACTTTGATCTTTTCTCTGTTTTATCATGATGTTGTCTCTTGGTCCAGTTGTGAGGATTTTGTTTTCATTACCTCTGTTGTAATCTACATATATTATGAAAACAAAAACAAACCCAATTCACTTCCATCAAGTTGAGGCTGACTCAGGGAACCTATTGGGCAGGATAGAACTTCCCCTGTAGGTTTCTGAGGCTGTAACTATTTATGGGAGTAGAAAGGCCCACCTTTCTCCCAAGGAGCAGGTGTTGGTTTTAAAGTGCTGACATTGTGGATTGTTGCTCAATTTGCAACCACTATGCCACCAAGGTAGAATATATGTACAGTGAACCCCCGCCACTTCGCGCTTCGACTTACGCGGCTTCACTCTATCGCAGTTTTTGCGTAACAGCGCATGCTCTGTCATTACTGCCACTGATTGGCTCATACTGTACACGCTTCTGTCTGCATCGCTACGTATCGGAGCTACGTATCAGATGCATTTTTGCTTTTGTACAGTGTACTGTAATTGTTTGCGATTTTTAATAAATTTTATCTAAGCCCTATGATGGCTCCTAAACGAGCTGCTTCTTCTAAGCCTTCTGACAATAAAAATAAGCGCCAGAGGAAGATGCTCACCATCCAGAAAAAGGTAAAACTTTTGGATATGATCAAAGATGGCAAGAAAATCGTGGAGGTTGCACGCCATTTCGACTTGAATGAGTCTTCCGTTCGCTCCATCCGTTCTACTTCATAATATAATAAATACTAAATGATAATTGTAATGTCCAAAATGTTTTACTGCATTTTCCCTTTTTCGTTTAATAAATTGGGTAATATGAGTGTAATGGTGACTAAAGGGTGTTTTTTCATGTCCTCTATGCTCTAACTACGAAAAAATATTTGATTTACAAATAAGGAATCCTACTTCGCGGAATTTCATTTATCACGGTAGGGTCTAGAACTGACTAACCGTGATAAACGAGGGTTCACTGTATATATAATTAGTCATATATATTCTACAAATAGCAAATTTGAAGTTTTTATATTGTACTCTAAAGATATAACCATTAAAAGATACTAGGTAAAGGGTACAATTGACCTCACTATACTGTCTTTGCAAATTTGTATGAATCTTCAATTATTTGAAAATAAAGTGTTGAAAAATCTACAACTCTGACTGACCTAGTGATATCAGTCATAGATTTTTTTTTTTTAATTTTGAAAGGCTTACACCAAACGTAAGAAAGACCACAGAAAGAATTAGAGCATCAACAAACTTTCTTCATTGGAGAACTTTAAATAGTGATCCTGTGAAGATTTAACCACAGAAGGACAGTAAGAATGATTCTTTGAGTACAACACAAAGAATGCAAATAAAGTCACTGGAATATGTTTTAATAATGTATCCTCTTCTGTGTATATTTGAAACAAAAAAATGAATAAATCCTACAGAAATGTTTAGAGACAAGGAAAAGGTTAAAGACAACTTACTTTATGAACATATCCAATGTGAACAAATACTAAAAATATAGCACATAAGGAAATCCCTATTACTTTGACTATAACAATTATAGCAATAGTTTCTCCTTTACTACTTCAACAAACTCATAGGATTAATAACCATAGTCTACTGTGCTTACAGGTGCCTTTCAAGCATGTCATAGTTGAAGAACATAATTCAATGACCCGAACAGCTGAAGTTCCTGCTTCCGATGCTGGGATTATCAAAATAGAAATCTAAAAATCAGAAACAAAAATCAGAGATAGTCATTAAATCTCAATTTCAAATTTCTATCATTAGAGTTCTGTTAACTGTCGAATGTAATATTTGTATTAAAGTGCTTACTAATATATGAAAAAGTTTGTTATCTAGCTTTATATTTAAGACAGTAATGTCCACTAGGTCAATGTTTCTCTTTAACACTTCACACTTCTATATTAAATCTCACTCTAATCTTCAATCTAAAAAAACTGTATCCTTTCATATTGAAACGAATTACTGCTAAAGATTAAAGCCCTCATTTTCATTTTTCCCTGTGTCATGCTTATATTTTGTCTGGGAATGTTACACTGAAAGCTCGCAAAAGAGATGCCTACAGCAAATCCTAAATACACAAATTGATTTTAATAAACACACGTGTTTACTATCACATTACTTGAATATGTAATTGTTGAATTTTAAGAGGGATAAAGGAAAGAATTCTATAGAGGAAACAAAGAAAGGAAAGCCAGAAACATGATTTTGATTAATTTGATAGCTATGTGGTAAATGGATTTGAAAAAGACAAGAGGCAAGGACACCAATTAGAAAGCAGAAATGTTGAACCCCTTAACAAAAGTAGTGCAAATGAGAGGAAAGGGAAATTGAAGCAATTTCTCGGAAGTAAATTGACAGAAACTAGAAGACAAGTGTGGTAGTTACATAATCTGGTGTCAATTTGAAGGGATGATGAGTGAAGGGGTGGAGTCTGGTCTGTTAATCAAGATAAAATCAATGAGGCATCTGTGTGGGCATGACCTTTGTCTGAGAATTCTGGGGACTCCGGTATTTCACTCCCTTAGAGGTGGGAGACTTCTCTCTCTCTCTCGCTCTCTCTGCTCACTTCCTGCAAGACAACCCTGAGGACAAGACACATGGCACTACGCTGATAGACCCCATACCCTGAGAACTGGAGAAGCTATGTAGAGACCTCTGCCAGCGGTGAGATGCTTACAACGCTACCAGATCCAAAGAGTTTCTACCCACTGGCCTGCGATCGTCCTACAATCGGCACCATTACATGTGTTTTGTGAGTCTGAAGAAGACTTTATAGATTGGTATCGGAAATATGGGCTAATATTGGACTTATGGGCTTGGACTGGACTAGGTTGGGATGCTTGACTAATGTACAATTACCCTTTATATAAAACTATCTCATATGAGTGTCTATGGATTTTTTTCTCTAGTCTACCCGGACTAACACAACAAGGAGCTGTAAGAGATCGAAGAAGCTGTTGTAGTTGTAGTTGGAAGTTGGCACTATTCATGGAAGTAAAACACTGGATTAAGAGGACGCTTAGATGGGAGTGCAGGTGCTAACCATTGGGATAGGTGTTTGTTATGGAAGGCAGACACTCCTGAGAGACACAAAAGTGACTGTCACCAATATCTACGTGGAACTAAAGCTGTAAGTATAGATGGAGTTATCCAATGAGTGAGTATAAAGCAAAAGAAATTATGGGTTGAAATAAGAATTCTGAGGAACTCTGATATTTTAGCAAATGGCAAAGAAAATGAGCCTACAAAGGCAGTAGTAGGTAGGGAATTCTTAATGAGTCAGGAGGAGAACCAGACGAGCACAGATCCTAGAAACCACGGGCACAGCATTTCAAGAGGGAAGTGGAAAACCAGCATTGTAAATGTAGCAGAATTATCCTAGTAGAAAAAGGCCCTGACAATGATGAAGTTACTTAGAAAAAAGCAACTATAGTAAAAGCTTGAGGTATAAACCAAGTTTTTGTAGTATAGGCATAAATGGGAAGTAAGAAACTAGAGGCAGCAAGTATATGTGCCGTCTTGAAAATGCTTGATACTAGGAGCTAAAAGGCTGGATATTAGATAGAAACAGGGCTAGAGTCAAGTGAGGGCTCTTGGTTTTATTTCACCCAGTTAAAAAAAAATACTAATGTAAAAATAGGATACAAGGAAGACTGGCAGTGGGAAGAAGCAAATGATGCAGGAGAGAGAAGAAGAAGAAAGCAGAGAGAGATAGTCAAAGGAAAATGTGAAAGAGGTTGGCTTTGGATGTGGAGGAAGCTGCCTCATTATTATCTGTGCTGCTATACCTAAGTTGTGGGTGACAGGGCAGGAAGTCAAAGGTTATTCTATAGGGTGTTTTCCCTCCATTTTCTCAGTGAAGCAGGTAAGAGGATCAGAATTGATGAAAGAGTTTAAGACTTTGAATAGCCACTGAAGGAGAAAGGGAGAGGGAGCTGCCTGTGGATCATAGATGAGTTGATTGATAGAGGGGACCCAAGACCTAGCTGAGGGAAGCTATCTTTCATCACTTTATGGTAACGTCAATCTGTCTATTTGTCCGGTTTTCTCAAGAAGCCTCAGTTATCCAGGTGCAGACTATAGCCTGTTCCAGGAATGGGACCTTTGTTTGTAAGGACAAGGTTCTATGAGAACTGACAATGTTAGAGGGAAAGCCACTCAGAAGATCCACCAAGAGGTTTAAGACAGGAAAAAAAGAAGAGGGCAGGAGAGAGCAGATAGACTAAGAGGAAGCAGAGGGGACACGGGATTAGAGGTCTCTCACAAGGCAATGACCAGGTTAGATGACTTAAGAGAATGTACTGTCACTATAAATTTATAAACTCTGCCCAGAAAACCAACTACAAAATAGTGAATTTGCTAACTCTCCACTCTCAAAATTCTCCAAATTTCAAAACTGTCCTTGAGCTTTGACACATCCCGACTCTTGCATCTCCATTCAGAAGAGGACCTTATCTTGTCATTTAATGAGCAAATGGAACCAATTAAATGGAACCTCCCAAATCTAAAAATGGTCTTGCATTCACTCTCCTTTCAGGGTGCCCCATAGTCTACCTAAGGTCAATACTTTTGTCCATTCTTTGTATCCCACCTTCGCCACCTTTATGGGGCTTGCTCCATTAATTATTCTCCTCCAGCCTATATTTTTTAGAAGGGAGAAAAATAAAGCCTTCTTTACTCTAACATCCATTTTCAATAACCAATTCACAACTTCTACAAAGAGTTGTCTCTATTTTTCCTTTTCACTTTTGTGCATCCCTGTCATTTTTCAACTCATTCACAAAATTCATGGCTTATTAGGGGATATAGATGAGATAATCAACAATTATACGAGGCGATACCCCCAAAAAACCGGAATCACACTGAGCGGAGCAACACTTTCATGCTATGCCTTTTTCCTGCTAGGTGAGCATGGAGCCACTTGCTCTGAGTTAGTACAACCAGTGGCATTGCCTGGGAAGGTCCTCTCTGGTCACAGTGAATTTTTTTTTGTAAAAGCAGTTTCACTCATACCTCGTTTTTTTTTGTGATAGCCGATGTAATAGAACAGTGTCCGGCTGTGAAATTTTGTTTCCTACTCAGGAAAAATGCCACAGAAACTGTTGTGATATTGAACACGGCTTGTAAGGACAACACTATGGGAAAAACTCAAGTGTACAAATGATTTTTTCATTTCAAAAAAAGGTAAAATATCGATTGATGACAAAACTTGTTCTGGACATCCATCAACTTCCCGATTGGATGAAAAATGTCAATTCATAGTGCATTTTGAGTTCATTCTACCAGGTCAGACTGTTAATCAAACTTTCTATTTAGAGATTTTGAAAAGATTGAGTAACAGTGTGTGACATTGTGGCACATGAAGGACTGGTTTTGTCACCATGACAATGCACTTGCTCATGCAGCCATCTCAGTGGGTCAGGTTTGGGCAAAAAACAGCATGCCTCTCTTGTCCCACATGCCTGACTCACCTGACCTCGCTCCATGCAACTTCTTTTTGTTTCCACGAATGCAGAAGGGCATGAAAGGACAATTTGATGATGTAGACACAGAACAAGGGAGTCATCAAAACAGAGGAGCTTGAAAATGTTTCCAAGAATGGAATTGCAGAGTTCACAATTGTATTACGTGTAATGGAGAGTATTTTGAAGGTGATGATTGTTTTGTTAAAAAAAGTTTAGATACACAGCTTTGAAAGAAAAAAAATCCGGTTTTTTTGGGGGGTACCCCCTGGTACACTTTCGTAATTAGTGCTATGATAGTTATTGTAGACTTTCTTATACTACACTCATGCTTTCACTGGTTACACTGAATTGCAGCTGTTCTTTACTTGTCTATATCATCCAGACAGGAAGTTCTTTGTGGGCTATGATGGCTACCACTACCTCTTCAACATCAAGCTAGCACACAGTGGCTTATACGTAAAAGGCATTGCTTGCTGAATAATGAAATGGCAGTATTTGTGCTCGCATGTAGAATGAACACATCTATTTTATATAATAAAATGCTTATAATTTGAAGAATTTTAGGAGCTTTTCATTTAGCAGTTCTGCATATAGCATATATCTGACAGTCACATGTACTGAGTAAGGTGACTTTTTTTGGTCATTGTTGTAAAATAGTCATTTTATAATGAAAAGGAACATATTGCTGGGATATATTGCTGTGTCCAGACTGAGGGACACCACAGGCATAAAGAAATTCCTATGAGATTAGGGGTACAAAGGAGAAAGAAGGCACTGAAACAAACAATGTTGGATGATGGTACTGAGGAAATAGCAACACTAAGAATTGTTACAATATTCTGAGAGTCCTAAAGTTCATTCACACCAGGTCTAATGCTGATGATGAGTTTATCACCATGACGATTGGGGTGGTTACTATAAATCCTTTCACTAGAACATTTTTTAAATGTGTTATCTTAAGATTCTTTTTTCTTACCACAATACTGTATTTTCTGTGTCATAAAAGTAATTGTTGAAAACTAAGCTTTGGTCTAACATTACTAGAGTAAATCTAGGAGATGACAATTATTTGTGCTAAAAAAAAATTCCTTTTAAAAAACACAGCATTTACATTATAACCGTTATGTAACTTTTAAAAGATATTAAAACCTTTTAGTACCTGTGATTTGATATATTTTACTTCAGCAATACTGATTTATATATTAACATGTAACTTAATCTTGGACACATTATTAAAAAGTAGAGAACAAAAATTACCTGTTGATCTGAATCTGTTTTTAGCAGAGATCTATCTGTAATTAAGACTGCCCTGGAGATCTGCCTATAACACACAAAATAGCACATAAATCAGTGATTCAGATTTCATGGATAAGTTTCATTTATATTTACATAACCACCAGATGGCACATTTCAAAGATTTACATGAGGATAAAAGCGTCACCTCAGAAAACCAAGTCAAGTTTTTTTGTTTTAATATATTTTGGGCTCATGAAAGAAGGATGTGTGACCTGCAGACTTACCACATCTGAGACAAAGGAAGATATGCTAGGCTCCCCCCAAAGCAGATCCCATAAGAGATTAATGGCAAGATATTGTATATATTTTAGGTTTGTTCTATATGTACACCATACTTGAAGAGCAGACTCATCATATGCAAATGTCAACTTAATCATGGGCAAGTTTTCTCACATGAGTGTAACCGTGCCTTACCTGTATTGTATACTTGAGCATATGTTCTCAGAAAAATAACTGTCCTCCACAATGAAATGCTTAGAGATTATTCTCTGGCCGAACTGATCTATGATTGCTTTACATCTATAAAGATAAATAAGCATAACAAAAAGTTCATGTTAATGATTAAATATTTTAATTAACATAATAAACAGCTACCACGCTTAAATCTTAAAACTAATTACTTGCGAAGATAATCTTAAGTTGCCTATAATTTTAATATTTTTAACATAAAGCTGTTAATAAATGAAAGAAAATAGATTGTTTTGCCATAACACCTATTGCTGTTAATTCTGATTAACAACTGCAGGACCAGGGCTACTTTTGCTGCCATCAGTTCTTTGAAATGGAAAATCACTTTGAAATCTCACTTAAATGTCTACCCTGAATGTCATTAACAACTAATGGTAAAATTAGAATAATTTTCTAATTTTATCACTTTGCTAAAATTTAGAAACAAATGCTTTTCCTTGCTTAGAAAACAGGATCTCCCCACTGCTTTAAATAACTATAAGAGGAAGAAAAAAGTTGATTAAATAGCCTGTTACATATATTGTTCACAATCAGTAAAAGCCACTAAGATCATTTTTATTTTGCTGTTAAGTGTTGCTCTCTCTTTTGTTCAAGAATAGCTATCTGGTCACATGTTTGATAATGTTTTTACCAGAAAAAAAAGGTGGGGTGGGGTGGATAGAGCTTCTTTTAATATTTGTTACTACCTTAATTCACAGGTCTACCATAGAAAGGTTTCTTTCAAGTGCTGTTTCCAAATAAGGAATACACTTATGCATGGACATTATCAGGTCTCTGTCATCTGATATGTGTTGGAACAATGAATCACACAGACCCCTCCATTGACCTTCTTTCAATGTGTCTAGATGAAAGGATGAAAATTAGAATCCATCTCCTTGCCAGCGCCACAAGTTATAAATGTACTTGATAGGGTTCATTATCCAAACTAATGGACTAAAGGAAATATCCTTGAAATGGACTTAACAGCACTGACAAAGCCAGTACACACGATTTCAGGAACACTATGCAAATGGCTGCATATTCCTGTATACTTTTATTATGGAAATATACATGTAATTTACTTTTATCATAGTTTCTCCTTTGGGGACCAGAATTATTTTATTTGAAATATACGAATAATGCTCCTCACAAAATGCAAGCAAATAATTTCAAGACACCATATTTGAAATATACTAATATAAACATACTAAATCACTAAAAAAAATCATATAAGCTATATTTACCAGCCATAAAGGAATACAAAATAGAAGACCAAGAGTAGGCGAATTTGATTTTATTGCCTAAAGACAGCCTATGATATTCTTGAATAAATGGCATCTCACTGGTTTCTGGATAGACTATGATGTTTGATTATATTACATATGCTTAATATATATTCTTAATCAATTCACTACCTTCAGTTATAGTATATTACTATTTATATGATTTTTCCCATTTCCCCCTCCTTTCCCTTTACTTTCTCTATTTCTATCTTCATCTCCTCACATTGTATTAAACTTGAGCCCTTGTCCTTAAAATACTTCCTTAGCTAAATAGATGAAAGTTATTTCTACTTAAATATAACTACTTAACAAGAAACTACTTATTCAGTTTTTGTTTTGTTTTAAAATGTTCATATACAATCTGAAAAACAAGGTTGTTTAAGTTACAGAGAACAGATATGATCTGTCATTAATAATGATCCCTATTTCTTCTGTAAAACCTCACAGCCCTTTTCTTCCTCTTAGCTCACAGACTATAGAAAATCAAGAGAGAATAAGTTGGGGAAAAAGGTAGAGGGCTGCTAAATGACATGGATTTGGATTACACAGTTTTATCATTTGCCAAAATTCAGCTAATGCGCACCTAAGATTTGTGTCTTTCATTGTATATCTATTTTACATCCAAAAAAACTGTAAACAAATACTGAACTCTATTTAATGATAGGCATTCTGAAATATTTCGTTCTAATGGTTCTTATGTAATGTTCTAATGGTAGGTTTCAGTGGCAGATACACTGAAATTCTTTCAACTTTGGCATACAACATAAAATAAAACTGGGAACAGAGGGTGGGAGTTGTAGTTGTATAAATTCTGAACTTTAATGTGGGTTTTTGCAAAGGGACATATTTTAATAAACCACATAACTAAATCTGGTCCCAATTTGTGAATGCTTTGGAGGCTGTCAAGTACTAATAGAGCTGTTTTGGTAGTAAATATTACTGGTTGGTAGACATTGGTTTTAGAAGTTACAATATTAAAAAGACCAATTGGGAACAATCAAAAGAGAAATATAGAGGGACAGGAAATTAGAGAATTCAACTATTCAGGAATAGCTACTAATAAATATGCCTCTTTATGTTGAAGTTTCCAGGTGAAACAGTGATTCTCAAAGGAGGAGGGGGAGAAGGAAGCAAATCAGAATCACACCTGGGGGACTTTTTTCAAATTATAAGTACCCCTGGAGATTCTGATAAGCTCCCAAATCCCAGGAAAGAATCACTATTCTATTATAATATAACTTTGCTACTCTTGTATTTCATTGTACTAAAAAGAGAAAAGTCAAGAGCTACTGGTATGGAAATATGTATGTGTGTGTGTATACACATATATACATATATGCACACACATCATGTTTGGTAAATAATTATTCCTATTCCATATGCTCTTCTATGCTTTCTCAAACCCACCACCTCAAATGCTACCACCAGCTAAAACCATCCTAAAAGGTTTTTTCCTCAACCATTATCTTGTGTAAAAATCTACTGCAACAATTTCAAACACCAGTTAAGATTGTTCCAAAGTTGTGGGGTTTTACTTTGGCCTCTCTTACATTCTATATAAATATTTTTAAATTGTCTATCACCTATTTCCTTCTAGACAGACTTAACACCCTTTAAATCAAGCATGATGAGTTCACCATCATTCCTCAACCACTGTTCCATGCAGTACTAGCAAGACCATTTTACTCAGGCATTGATAAGACCAGCAGTCACGGTTTTCTCTACCTCAGGAGCTCCCTTCTTACATCTAATTACCACTACATTTTTACTCCACTTTACAACTATTTCTTGGAACTAGCTTCTTCCCATCTCTGCTGGCATTGCTCAAACTGAGTCATGGACTACTAGCACGTGGGAAGTACATTTGTTTAATATAAATATATGGCATAACATCTCTGTACCAAGAACTATTCTAGGAAATGAGGATAAAAATATCTTATATTGAAGCAGTTCCCATTATAATACAGATTCAGACAAACACCAAAATTACATGAAATTGCCAAGTATAGGAATAAGAGATAAGAGTACGGCACTATGAGAATACTAAGGGGAGGTACTTTACTAAACCTGCGATGAAGGGATAGAGTATAAGGGAATACTCACCAGAGAAAATGATACATTAAGTGATTAAAAGATGAACAGAGGCTAAATAAGGAAATAAGAGAAAGAACCTTTCAGGCAGATGAGGCAGCATTTACGCAGTACAGAGGCAAATCAGGGAAGGGCAGTTACAGAGAATTTCAAGCAGTTCAGTATTTATGACCAGGAAATGAAAACCAGGACATGAAAAGAGACGAGGCTACAGGGCCAAGCAAAGGCCAAATTACACAGTGTTTCATGCATCCTAGACTTTATTCTGAACTTGCTAAAGTTAACAAGTGAAGTTAGGATTGGCTACTCAAACAGAAGTTGGTGGTTGAAACAAGCACATCAGCTCCACAGATGATAGGCCTGGCGATCTCCTTCCATAAATAAGCCTAGGAAACCCGATGGAGCAGTTCTGTGCTATATAACACATGTGCTTTCCGTGATCTCAGGAAACAACAAGAAATACAACAACATTATTAAGTAACATCTCTTGGTACAAAGAACATCATGTTTTATTCATTTCTATATCTTCATTGCAACTAACATGAGAGTTGGCAAGGTTACATTATCTATGAGGGGGTACCCCCCAAAACCAGAAGTCTTTTTTCAAAGATAGAATTTAATTTTTTTTCATAAAACAATCATATCACCTTCAAAGTACTCTCCTTTACACTTAATACATTTATCAAATCTGCGATTCCATTCTTGGAAACATCTGATAGCACCTCTGTTGTATCTTTCTTTACCTCCTCTATGTCATCAAATTGCTGTCCTTTCAAATCCCTCTTCATTTGCAGAAACAAAAAGCAGTTGTATGGAACAAGGTCAGGTGCATGGGGCAAGAGAGGTAGGCCGTTTTTGCCCAAAACTGGTGCACTGAGATGGCTGCGTGAGAAGGTTCACTGTCATGGTGACAAAACCAGTCCCCCATCTGCCACAAATCAGGCCTTTTTTATCACACACTGTTACGCTATCTTTTCATAACCTCTAAATAGAAAGCTTGATTAACAGTCTGACCTGGTGGAATAAACTCCAAATGTACTATGAATCAACATTTTCATCTGTTAAGTAAGTTTACAGCCGTCTAGAACGAGTTTTGTCATTAATCAACATTTTACCTTTTTCAGAATAAGAAAACCACTCACATACTTGAGTTTTTCCCATACTGCTGTCCTTGTAAGCTGTGCTCAACATCACAATGGTTTCTGTGGCATTTTTCCTGAGCAGGAAGCAAAATTTCACAGCCACGTGCTGTTCTCTTAAATCGGCTATCACAAAAAAACTAGGTCTGATAGCGAAACTGCTTTTATGAAAAAATTCACTGTGACCAGAGGGAATCTTCCCAGGTGACACTGCTTGGTTACACTAACTCAGAGAGAGTTGCTTGATGCTCACCTAGTGGGGGAAAATGTGTACTACAAAAAGCTTTTGTCCAGTTTTTTGTATCCCATCATATAATACTATCACTATATTATTTTCTAATTAAAAATAAAAGCAAAAAAAGTGCCACTTAGTCTATTCCCAATCATAGTGACCCTTAATAGAGTATACCAAGGCTGTAAATCTTTAGGGGAGCAGACAGCATCATCTTTCTCCTACAGAGTGACTGATGAAATTTAACCACCAATCATTGCATTACCATTTTGCAAATGGAACATGCTAAATCAGAGATTCAATGGTTTTCCCCACAAGGACAAATAC